AATGCCCTCAGATGTGGTGGCAGCGAACAGTAGGTTTCACATTACTAACTTCTCTCAAGGGAAGAGTGCAGGCTATGGTCACCACCGATGGGCTTGTGCTTCTTCACGGGCGGTGGAGGGTGGTGAAGGGACCCCCAACCAACAAACGTGTCCCTGCACATCTGCCCTCAAGGCCAGGCCCACAAGTCCAGGCGATGCGAAGAAGCAAAGCCCCCACCGCCCAGAGGCTACTCCAACAGGGTGAGTTTCTGCATCGTCTGTCCCCTGCCTGGTACCCAAGGACAGCGGGCAGGCCCCGCACGTGACAGAAACAATGCCCACATTGGCTAGATGCGCGGTCAGTGCTGATTAGCTGGCTTCCTGAAGACATCACAGCACCTCTGTCTTCTGCACGTATCTTTTTGTATGTTAGGTGTGCATAAAAAACAGGAAGTCTAACCCTGAGAACGTTTTTAAACTAAGTGACATATTCTGCGGTTTACAAAAACTACCCCAACCTGCGCCTTAGCCCCCACTCACGCAGATGGCGTTGATGTCGGACTCGTGGCCGGTGAAGGTCTGCCGGCACACCCCTTCTCGCACATCCCAGAGTTTGGCTGAAGCATCGCAAGCACCAGAGACAAACAGCCTGGTGTCAGGAGCGAGCGAGAGGCTCATAACATCCCCGGTATGCCCGGTAAATGTGGTCGTCTGCTGGCCGGTCTCGATGTCCCACAGAGCACTGGAAGGAGAGACAGGACAAGCAGAGTCACCTCACTTTCTTAGACGACCAGTGACAGTGTCCTTCAAACCACCCAGGATCACAGTAAGCCCCTTTTGCTTAAAACGAATCTAAATTCATAACATGACTTTGGAAGGGAAACAAAGCAAACTAATAAAAACGCAGGCGAGCATAAGGTCGCAGGCTTGAGTAGCTGTCAACTCAAATGCCAACAAAGAGGCTGGTGTCCCTTTACAGCAGGGACCTCCGGAGGCTGTGCCACACCTGTGCTCCGTGTGGGCTCTCAAGGGGCTGCTAGGGTAACTGCATCGCTAGCACCGCAGCTGGGGCAGAGAACATATTCTGTCTGCTGCTGCCAGCTCCGTGCCCTCAGGCTCCTACAGGCTAGGATGTGGGGACAATGTCAGGTAACCCAGGGCGGGGAGCAAAGCGGAGGGGAGCGGGCCCTGGGGCCGTGGTAGTTTGCTCGAGTGGCTACTTGAGGGGAGTCACGGGTGAGCCTCCGACGGCATGTGCCGTCCTGTGCCTCAAACCCACAGAAAGCAACACCTGAAAATGCTCCTTTCCTTCCCGCCTCAGGCAACCTGGCTCCTTCCAGCAACGCAAACCCTGTCAGACTGTTTCACTGCAGGTGCACGGGGCCTCCGCTCAGGGGCCTGAGGGACTACAGAAAGGAAGCAAGACGGGACTCTGACAGAAAGCTGCCCATAAAGGAAAAGGCTTAAAAAAAAACTTCTAATAAATTCTTGCCCCAAATTCACCGTCCAGTCTCAATCCTTCGTAAACCGAGACATTTACACAAAAGGACACCGTGGAGAGCAGGGCGAGCTGGGTAAGGGGGTCGGGACCGGTGCAGGGCACCCCCACACCCCGTGGGACTGGGCGTCTGTGCCCCAGGAGAAGGAAAGCCCGTGACTCTAACAGGGAGCTTGAAGGCGACCACGGGGACGTCTCGGCGGAACGCGCCGGCACCACACGCGGAACAGCCGCGGGCGCGTTCCAGCGGAAACTCCAAAACCGCAAAACTTGGTAGAAGCCGTTTGAAATCGTGACTCCTGCTACTTTTATGCTGTGCTCAGCACCTGCGATGAGATGGCACTTCCACTGCCCCCAAAGGCCACAGCCATGGCCCGAGCCCGTGACGTCCGGACGGAGGAAGGCCCGCCTCACACAACCGCAGTTTCAACAGCTAGGAATCTGTTCGCAGTTGTTCAAGATGAAACCGAGCTTCAGAATCTACAGAGCTAACGAACTCAGCTCACAGTCACTCACTGCTGCCTGGCTGCCAGTCCTGGGGCCATCCCAAGCTAACACCAGCGATCTTGTCTCCTAGCTGCCAGGGGCTGCGGGTGTGAGAAAGGGGTGTGTGTGTGTGGGGGGCTCAGGTACTCACCAGGTGGTGTCTCCAGAGCTGGTGACAATCTGATTGTCGTCCAGGAAGCGGCAGCAGGACAGGTAACCTGGAAAACAGAGCCAAATGATGGCCCCAGTCTGCACGCCCGCGATTCCATGGTCTCACATAGAAAACCAGCGAGCGGGGTGAAGACACATACACGCCTGTCGCCCCGCCGGGCTGGGCCAGACAGGAGGCAGTCTTGCTCCGCCCTCATCCCCTGCCCCACCGCTCGTGAGCGCGCAGCTGCCCATGCCACAGGAAGTCACCGGCGCCCGGAACGCAGCCAGGAACAAAGGGCCACTCTCGCTCTCCGGAGCGCAAATGCCAGAGGGAGGGAGGAGGCGCCAGGGGCTGGGGAGCGTGGGGGAGGCTGGGCTGCGGAGGCCGTGCTCTCCAGGCAGCCACGGCTACCGCCACAGCAGGACTGGGGTGCCAAGCAGGGTCGGGTCTGTTTCCCGCCGTGTGGAAATCACTGTGTCACTGGGGTCCAGGGGAGACCAGGCAGAGCCATAGCGCTGAGGCGAGGACACAGTGTGTGGAGATGCCCAGCCTCGACCAGCTTCTGGAACCAGGAAAGGCGAAACACAGACGAGCAATTTTGTGCTCCTCAGGGGTCCCCAACCCCGGGCCGCGGAACGGTACTGGACTAGGAGGTGAGCGGCAAGCAGGGGAGCGAAGCTTCGTCCGCATCTGCAGCCGCTCCCCAGCGCCGGCATCACCGCCTCAGCTCCGCCTCAGACCATCAGGCACTGGATTCGCATAGGCGCGCCGGTCCCTGCTGCCACAAAAGTCGGGGACCGCTGCACTACTCAATTAACTGTGCTGCCCAGGATCTCTGCTTCCCTCTGCTCTGGTGTAGGTGACCTGAGACCCTCTCAGAGTGCCACAGGCTGTCTCCCGGAGGGCCTGTGCCTGGGACTGCTTGACCTCAGCTCCTCCGGGGCAGTGGCACCGGCCAGGCACCTGCCGTGCCCCGCGACCGTCCTGCCAGTCCACACCGCAGCCGTCGTGACACTGTGTGAGTCAGTGTAATAAAAACTGGAGCGGACCCAAAGAGGAAACGCACGGAAGGGCTCTGCTGTGGAGAGTCTAAGGACACCGCGAAGACCGAGCATGCATCCAGCAGCGTTACTGCACCGGCTCCCACAGGAAACACGAAGTGACGCTTTCACGCCACCAGCTGCTAGAAAAGAGCGCGTGGTCATGCACTTCCTAGAGGCCATGTCACGCCACAGGGACACTGGGGACCGCATCCAACCACTGTCCGGCCAGAAGAGGAGCAGCCTGCGCTGAAGCACGGGGCTGGTGACAAGCCCTCATTCTACACCCCCGCCCTCCACACCGTTGGCGGGCCCCTCTCCAAGAACAGCGGTGACCTCCGGGCACACTCATCCTTGCTCACGTCAGCTTCCCAGTGCCCGTCAGGAACCAGCCCCGGGAGCCCAGCCTCGCCCCGCTGAGCCTCGCTCCACCCCTTGGCACTCGGCTGCCGGCCGTGTGAGCACAGCGACGGCAGGAGAGGACATCCTCACGCAAGGCCGGGCAGGGCACGTCCAGGGCCACTGCACGGAGAAACACGACCTCGGAGCTCGCCTCTGCCCGGCCTCACACAGGTTGAGGTCCAGCCACGTGGAGCCCCAAACCAGGCCCTTGCGCTCTGCGACACAGTCTGGACTCTCTAGGGCCTCAGAGCTGGGCAGGAACATGCTGCCGGCTGGTAGGAGCTGGGACGGCTGCAGACGACACGTTCATAGGGGAGTCGCGAGTGCCAAGACTCGCAGACACGTTCCCGTGGGGAGGAGCAGGCAGCAGTCTGGGGCACGGCCTCGGGGCCCTCACCCCTCGGGGTCCGAGGGGACGACTGACAGCTCCGACCGTGCTCGTCCCCAGAGAGCGGGAGCGTCGGGGAGGGCGGCCCGCAGCGGTCACTGACTTCCCGCAGCGTGAGCTCCCGGAACACCCACAAACACGTCATTCCACACGGTTGGCGCTGCTGGCTCACGAGCTCGTAACTCATTTCTGGGTCCCTTCTGTAATTCGAACACTGAGATGAAAAACAGTAAGCAGGTATATATCTTTTACAAAACAGTTTTTTCTCCTCGAAGGATGCTGTGGAAACCAACTTTTTCACTAGCTTAACGAGCCAGTTTTGAGCTACGTTCGACAGAGCCGACAGGAGCCCCGGACGCACGGACACCGGGCTGTACGGCCTGTGCGTCCCCGCGGGGCCGTCAGGGGGCAAGGTGGCCTCTGAGAGCAGAGTCGCCAGCTCCGTGCTCGGCGGGGAGACTGGCCGGCAGGGGAGGGCCTGTGCGTCCTCTCAGGGCCCCAGTCGGCCCGGGGGGACGGGGGACAACTGCAGAGAACCACTGGGGGAGAGCGCTGCTGTGCGCTCACGGAACTGTCAACGGCCGGCGGCGGCGACCACCTTTGTTACTGAGGAATGAACCTGTTCCCAGGGCATGAGCGCGTGAGAGATGTCACCTTGGGTGGAGGCCGCCCCCTCCCCAGGAGCAGGCGACTGCGCCGCAGCGCGGCTGGCCCAGCCGGGCTGCTGCCTTTCCGGGGCCTGCGGAAGGGCAGGGAAAACAGACCCTGACGAAGCCTGGCGGCGCGAAGCACAAACGTGTCACTGCGTGCCTCACAGCACAATGGGTGGCAGTGGTAGGGTGCACTGGGGACAGACAGCCTGGCGCAGGAATGAGACAGTCCGGAGAGGAGGTGGCTTGAGGTAAGACAGGGCAGACAGCAGGTACCTGGGTAAGGACCGTGAGGAGGTTGTGTGCCATCAACTGAGGTGCCCTGAGGACTGAAGCGGGCCCTCCTGACAGGGCGCATGGCCAGGCTGACACACTCCCTCCTGTATGTGACCCAGGGAGGGCAGAGCCACGAGGACCAGTGTGCACAGAAGCATGACGCCATGCAGCCAGGTCAGATCCCACGGCCAGGTCACGGGGCCTGAGAAGCCGCTAAGATCCCGATCTGGACCCTCGGAACCGAGTGGCTGGCTGGGATGGGTGGGGAGCCCACTGTGGCCAGTCGCAGGCATGACCCAGATTCACGGTGACCCTGGAAGAACTTTCTCTGCTGGGGCTGCAAAGCTGCAAGGGGGAAAGGAGGTTCGGGGAGCCCCAGGCGAGCCCGCGCCTCAGGATGGCATCGCACCCCAACGCCTGGCCAGGGTCAGGCAGCCGAGAGACCAGAAAGTGACAGGTGGTGGCTGAGCTTCCCAGACCGTGACCACTAACAGCCTGAGTCACATGTCACATTTAACCAACTGTCAAAGGACAGGGGGCCAGAGAGCAGCCTGGCTGCAACTCCCAGAGCAGATTTACACAAGACGCCTTCCGTCCTGTCCCCAAGTGTGCTGGCGCCCGCCAGAGACAAAGGACCGACGGGCACTGGGCCCGCCCCACTGTGCCGTCACGCATGAAAACATCCAGCCTCTCATTGTACGGACAAACCACTCGGAGAAAACGCAGTTTATTCTGCTGAGACGAGCGCTGAATCTGCTGAGACGAGCTTCTCAGATTCTATAAGAAAACGCCCCACGCTTGGCTTGACGGTGTTCTGACCTTAACGCTCGGGCTGGAACGAGACGTCGTCAGCCACGAGCACCGAACTCACCCGGCAGACGCTGAAAGGCCATCTCCTGAACCAATGACCGTTCCCGCCTCGATCCCCGACTAAAGGGAGGCCATTTTAAGTTTATCAAATTTTAACGTTTATTGATTTGAAGCTGAAAATTATGCACCCTATCTGAAGAAAGTTGCAAACACTGTTAAAGGGCAAAGTGTTTAAAAAATAACGCTCAACTCCCAAGAACTAAAACTCCATGATCTATAAAGGAAACAAAATTTCTAAAATATTCCCTCTAATAACTAGTTTTGTTTTGTCTCAACAAACAGGATGTTATAAAACCCAAAAGCCTTAACTGAAAATGGAAGTTGCCACACTGAATCCCATTATAAACTAGACGGGTAAACGCTGAGAACACGCGGTATAGAAGCGGACTCATCGGAACCACTCACAAGGACCATGCGGTCGCCTAGCCAGCCTCTGGCCCGGGACGCAGCTCCGGTCCACGGGGGAGCCCCCCACCCCAGGAACGGCTCTGCAAGCTGACAGGAACAGAAACAAGTACCTAAAGGTACCGGGAGCAGAAGCAGACTCCTCAGAGGGAGCCCAGGCCCAGAGGGAGAAGGCCTGGCAAGCTGGTTTCTACGGCGCATGGCCGTGCCCCTTGTCTGCAGGTTTTCACGGCCCCGCTCTGCAGCAACCGCAGTCCTGCCCCTCCGAGGTAAACTCTTGAATAGCCAGTGGACAGAGATCTGGGCAACCGCACCCAGAAAGTGAGAGGAAGCCGCGAGAGGAGGCCCTGCGTCACGCCCTGCCTGCCACATGGTGGGCTCGCACCTGGACCACAGGCGGAACGCAGGCCCCACGTGGCCCAGAGCATGAGCAGAGGCGGGACGGGGCTCTGCTGCCACCTGACGAGTGAACCTGGGTGTTTCCGGGGACGACAGGACCCCGTCTCTACGGCACAACAGCCACACTGTCCAGGATGTGGTTCCCAATGAGCAGATGTACTAAGAAATAGGAAAATGTCACCCATACTCTAGAGCAAGAGCCACCAGGACCAACCCTCAAGAGGATGGGCTGATAGAACTGGCAGACGAGGCTCCTGTAACTACGTGCAAGGACACCAGATGTGCTCGTGATACATGAAAAGGACATCTCAACAGGAAAATAAGAACTGCTTTTTTAAAAAGTAAATAAATTCCACGTAAAAATAGAACATCTGACAAACAGTCTTCGGAGTTGTCTTAATAGGATACCGGAGGTGACAGCAGGCACATGAACCTGAGGACACATCTGAAATGACCAAATCTGAAGCAGCGGGAAATTGAAGAAAAAGGAACAGAGCCACAGCAACCAAAGGGACAACATGCACACACCTGCTCGAGAATGGGGGCGAGGAGACCGTGGGACAGCAAGTGCACTGGAGTCACGGCCTCACATTTCCCAAACTTAGTGAAAGACGAAACTTCACAGAGCAGAACGTTAAAGCCCAGGAATGCAAAGGAAAGCACACCGGGGCGCGCCACAGTCAAGCCGCTGAAACAGCCTCCGAAATGCTCAAGGTGCTAAGAAAAAACACAACTCAGAATTCGGTGTCCACTAAAACATTCTTGAAGGAGGAAGGAAAACAAACATTTTCAGTTAAATGGACTGGAGAGAACGCACCGCGCACACCCTGCACAATCGGGGAAGCCGAAGCAAGCGCGTCGGGCGCGTAGGGACCAGAAGAAACTCCACTTTTACAAAGGAACGACGAGCACGAGAAACAGGAAACACCTGAGTGAATGGAAAAGACTTTAAATTTCTTCAAATGGCCAAGAACATTTAAAGGAAAAAACAACGATGTCGTTGTAGGGACGTGGAACACTTCTAGGTGCGACGCCTTTGAAAACCATGATGAACGTGGAAGGGCAGAAAATGGGCCTTGAGGCTGCAAGGTCTTTGCATTTTGTGACTTGATACAATATGAATGCTGAGTGGACCATGAAAAATCACAAATGTACACCATAATTCCTAGATAAGCCCCTAAAAAATGATGGAAAAGGGTAACCAAAAAAGCCAACAGATGAAGTAAAGTAAAATTCTAAAAATCGAGTAACCGGAAAAAAAGGCAGGAAAGGACGGCAAGCAGGGAAGCAGCAGAGCTAAATGCAACTGGATCAGCGTCGCAGGAAACAGAAGTGACCTCAGCACTAAGTGGAAGGCCGCGTCGTCGGAGCCAGCTGAAAGCGACAGCCCCGTGCTGTCGAGAGGGATCCTGTACAGGTAGAGGCAACGCTGAACGAGAATGGACGGGAGGAAACATGCCGGGTGCAGGAGCCACGACGGAGAGCACGTGTCATCACGGCAAGATGGGCAGCTGCGTGTGTGTGTGTGGGGGGGGTGATGATAATCGCACGCGCTTCCGCTAACGAAGCTCGAAGCGCACAAAGCGAAGCTGAGTCACAGGGAAAGACGGGGAGACCCCGCGCCAGAGAGTTTAACGCCCTTCTCAGCAGTTCGTGGAGGCGAGATGCGGAACACCCGAGCCTGTGTCCAAAGTCTGCCCTGCCCGCTGACGGCGGAGCAGGCGTGCTTTCCAGACGCCCACGTGCGGCCGTCGTGATGGACTGCTCCACTAAAAACAAGCCTCGGACCATTTTAAAACGTTGAGAGAGCACGTGACATGCTCTCATGACACATTAGCACGGGCCCTCCTCTCTCAGAAACACGCTGCCTTCCATTTCTGCACCCGCACGGGCACGCCAGACAGGATGCTCATGTGCCATCTGACAGAGCTGCCGGGGCCCTCGGGACTCTATTAATAGTTTCCTCTGCCAGAGGGTGCTCGTGCCGGGAGTTGTGAAGGATGCACGTGGATGACACGTGGACACGCGTGGACAGACACGTACGCGCGTTTACACACGTGCATGGGGAGACAAGGCAACCCTCGTGCAAAGGTGCTCAGGACGGAGGAGGGTCTAGAGGGGGCGGACGGGCTGGATGGTGTCACGGGGGCACAAACCAGCTACTGGGGAGGGACCCATGGACCCGGGAGTCTCTGACAGGGATGCTACAGTGACTTAAAGCCAAAGGTTTCTTATAGGCAAAGGCATTTCGAGGCCTGCCTTTGATTTCATTTGCAGCATATTTCTGGCCATTATTGCAACCAATCTCACTGAATAATTATCGAGAAGAGGCGAGTGTCCCAGCACAGAACGCGCACCGGGCAAACAGCTGACGCAGCGGGGAGGTCACTGGCGAGCACGTGTACCTGTGTGTCCGGCCAGCTCCCGACTCACGCGGACATTCCCTTCTCGAGTTTTCAGATTGTAAATGGAGCAAATGTTGTCCAGGCCACCGCAGGCCACGTAGTTCCCAGACGGGGCATAAGCACAGGTCATGACCCACGAGGAACGCAGAGGGATGGCGTGGACCTAAAGGACAGAACACAGGCAATGCAAACGCACTCACATTCAAAAACGTTAACTACCGAAATTATTTTGAAAATAACTGTATGTGTGACCATTCAGATTTAATCAGAAATCCAATGCTACGTAGCAATTTAGTCTAAGTTTTATTAAAGTCATAACTTACTATCAGATAAACTCTTAAATAATGGTAGTACAGCCTCCTAGTCAAAATTACTTATTAAAAGGAAAGCAGATTCCTTTAATACTTTAAGGAGTATCTGCTAGCAATAAATTCAGTTAATCTTAAAAAAAAAGAAGAAACCACGTCATTGGCCTGTCAAAATGGCTATACACTCATTCACAAAACAAAATATTTTTAACGAAGTGACCAAACTAGACATTACTGTAATTAATCCTACCACATCCCTCCCTGAGTTCTAGACAGACTTGGTATAAATACTGCCATATTTTATATAGATTAAGTATCTTCCGGTAAAATACAACTGAATTTGATCTTTTAAACACATTTGAACCAATGATAGTACTTTTTCATTCAATGTGATACAAGCTTGGATTAAATTTCTAAAAGAACTTAATTTATACTTCAAAGCATACTACTTCTCAGATGATCTCTTGTAAAAAGTAATAGCTAAATGAAGAGCTGCATGTCCGCATTTTTAAAGAAAATGTGAAAAAGTTCCCCAGACTGAGCTAAAACTGGAATCCAGGTGTCCTAGGACACTATGGAGTCACTGCCACCCACCTGCTTTGTAAAGAAATGACCAACTACAGCGTGACTGTGCCTGGTCCCTCAAGGGAGACTAGTACCACATGCTGGCCACGTGACTCGGCTCTTGGCCAACCTAAAAACTTTACACCAAAACAAACTCCCTGTGACCTCCCCCCACATCCTGTGACAAGTTTTACAGAAAGTGGAAGGGATTTCACAGTCCCTACCTTGTTTGTGGTGTAGCTGTCCCAGATGATGAGTTTGCCATCCTGGGAGGCACTGACGAGAAGCCTGGAGGGGAAGGACGAACGCAAACCTGTCAGCGCCACAGCAACACAGAATCGCAAACACGCGGCAACCGAGAACTCGACCTCTGTGACTTCTGATGTGGGCTTCAATGTTACATTTGCTTGGCACAAAGCACACTTATTTACAAGCAAGAAAAAAGTTCTAATGGTTAGATCGACTTTGACAGCATGAAAGAAAATACAACCCCAAACGACAGCTCAGATTCAAGAGCACTCGGCTTCACGCGCGGGAAGGAGCACCAAAGCTAAGACACGTGACTTCTAATCGCTTGTTTGGTTTCTGCTCATCATAAACGAAATTCGAGGTACACTGGTCTTTCAAGAGCAAATTACGATAGGAAATGCTCTATTTCTATTCTGAAACATGAAAAGCCTAGATAGAGAATAAACTTCCAGATATTCCAAACTTATGAGCCATTTCTCAACAAAACAAACAAAACGATGCATGAAACTTTCCTAGGTTGAGGTGACAGTGGAGTCCAGGCCTCCTGGGAGCTCTGCGACAGCACTCGCACTCCACCTGCTCTGCGAGGTGACGGCCGACTGCAGCGGGCCTGTGCCTGGTCCCGTGGGAGAGACCAGCGACTGCCCTCAGGTGTTTTCCTAACGATTTTCTTGCTTTGGGCAACTGCTACGTTTGGGATCTGCGTGCTGAGAAGGTGCTGACTGCGTTTGCGGAATTAAGACAGGAGACTGCACCAGGAGAGCATGACTGACGGGCAGAGCAAGTTCACGGGACAGTAAGTTCTGCAGGCACAGCCCCTGAGACAGCCTGGGGAGCTCGTCGACGAAAAGCGCTGTTCTTGGGGAACGGAGGGGGCTCGCCTCACAAGTCTACGCACATGTGCATCAGCACTGGCAAGTAACGACAGAAAGCTTTTCACTTCTAAAGATGTCATCAAAACACAGGATTTAACCATTTTAGCCACGACCATATTTGGCTTCTTAAACAGATCACAACCTGGAAGTAAACTCAAGTCACCCTCACAGCCTGCACACTTTTCATCAGAATATATATTCCGACGCACCGAGCATGAACTTTCTTCACAAGGAATCAACGCTGAGTCTGGCTAACAAACGATCTCAGCCCTGTTACGAAGCCTGTCGCAGAACTAAACTAAGCACAGGCACCAATTCATCATTTTTCAGATGGAATTCCTTCAAGCGAACCCCTGCATCTGAGTGGTCACGCACAGGTCAGGCCCCTAAAAACATCCCCGCTTACGGGGGCAAGGCTCACTCTGCTGCCCACCTCTGTCTGGCCCTCCCAGCACAGGCTCGTCCAGGCTACGGGGCCACCTGACCAGCGCACCCTTGGGAGGTCACCTTCACAGCGGTCTCCTGCTCAGAGAGCTTAGGATCTGCTGACTCGCCCAGGGGCTAGTTAGGGAGCCGTTAAGCTGCCCCTGACCCTCCAGAAGGTGAGAGGAGACACCCTCTAATCCCCAGTGGGACAGGGCCGGGGTCTTGCCTTGTGGCGCTCTGGCTGAGCACCAATCAGGTACCCCACGCAGACACCCAGACGCAAGGCTGGAGCAGCCAGGAACGAGCAAGGGCTCCAGCACACAGAGGATGAATGAGGCCCACCCCCAACGCCTCAGGCCCTCCCGTTCTCAGAGGATGGGGCTCGAGCCCCCTGGGTTCAACCATCACAAGACTTCAGCGGGCTTGAAAAAAAGAAAAGTTTAACAACTCGTGGGGCCAGAAAAGACTCTCGAAAGTTATGGAGAGCGGAAATGAGTACAGCTCAGTGCGCTGTGACGTGCTAACAAACGTCATAAACGCGTGGACACGAAGCTCCGTGCGGGCCTCCCCTGCGCTTCTGAGGGGCAAACTGCCGGCCCGCGTGGCAGTCTGAGTGCCCACGAATGACCGTGCACCCCCACCGCCATCATCACCTGCAGCCTCGACTCACGGAAAAACTTCTGCACACTGACCTCTGTTTACGAAGGCTGGAAACGTGAAGACAACGTTAAGCAAAACACACCGAAATTTAAGACTACTTTAGCTTCTAGAACGAACAGTCGCTGGAGGCTCTGGATGGCAGAGGCCCTCCTTGACAGCGTTTGTACTCCGTTTGAGGCTGTGACACAGAGCCCCTACCTTGCCCAAGGAAGAGAGCGAGACCAGCACGCCATCCACTGGCTCCCGCGGGGCCCCCACACCACCTCTTATTTAGGGGACAGCAACCCCAAGTCTGTGCTGCTTCCTCGCGCCCCGTCCTGCCGTTCTTCCCTGCAACCCAGGGCTTTCTACCGGGTGGGACAGGAGGCCTTGTACCTGGTGATCGGAAAGCCAGGGAGACACAGTCCCCGCCTGGCGGCCTGAAGCCCTCGCCTCACCCGCTGGGGCTTGGCCTGTAGCTCCCAGTCACCCTCCCGGGCACAGGTGAAGGGTCACAGGTGAGAAGCCTTCCAGAGCCCCCTGGAGCCTGGCTGCTGTGGGCGCACACACGGCTCATGGAGCCAAGACAACTACTAGCCTCCGCGTACTTCTCCAAGTACCGGGCTCCGAATACTGCTCCACGTACCGGGTTCTGAGAACCGGGTTCCGATTACCGGGCTCCTGAGTGCTGGGCTTCTGAGTACCGGGTTCCCAGCACCAGCCTCCGAGTACTGCTCTGAGTACTGGGTTCCTGAGTACCAGGCTCCGAGTACCGGGCTCTGAGCACAGCCTGGCTACAGCGCCGTCCAGCAAATGTACTGTCTGATCAGGACAGATGCTCCCACAAATGGAGGAAAAGCCCTGGAGGTGAGATACTGTCTGATCAGATCTACTTTTGATAGCAACTCTAAGATGGAGTAAGAAGAGCCTTTTCTTCTATTCCCTTTTCCATTCTTCCTGACGACTGCCCTCGTTAAAATGACCTAAGCTCATCTGCATCTGAAACTGCACGGGACACCACGCACAGCAGACCAAAGGTACAATCTTTTCTTCTGCAGCTGTTCACAGTCTAAGGCAGACAATTTCATGAACAGAGAAAACCAATCTGGAAATTCCTGACAAGCATGAAAACACTGCTACCCAGAGAAAGCATCGGAAGAATCCTGTGTTAGGTGCTTGAAAGACCACGTTAGAGTCACAAAGTTGCACAGCTGTCATTTCGTTACTTGGGCAGAAAGCGCAGACGAGATGGACTCTGCGGCAGCGTCTGAAAGAAGGCGAAGGCTCGAGCAGGTTGCACCTGGCAACGCTCGAGCAGGTTGCACCTGGCAACGCTGCAGGTTACGGGGAAAGGGGCGGGGACAGGGAAGGCAGGGGAGGACCCAGTGCACCACGGACACAAGCCGAGCCACCGGAGGGCAGAGGGCCGAACAGGAGGCAGAATTTAAAGCCGAAGCGACGAGCCCATGCCTGAGCCGGTGGATAAAAGGGAGAGGCAGAGGCCGGGGGGAGAGGGTGGAGGCGCAGCTGAGGCGTGAAGAAAAGAGCAGCAGACCCACGCTAGGCCCCTGGGACGCGCGGTCGCTGTTCTAAGGCTCAGCGCGCTCATCCTCCTGGCATGGGGGCACGGCACAGGGCAGGCTTTAGGAGCCCTGCGCCGCGGCACCGCAGGGCCAGCCAGGCAGCCAGGAGGGACAGGCTGGGAAGCCGAGGCCCAGCACGGGGGGCGGGGCCCACAGGCGCGCACTGTGCAGCTGGGAGAACGAGGCGGGCCGGGGGCTCAGAGCTCCGTGGGCACTGGCCGGGGCGGTGAAGGGATGACTGTGTCCCATCCGCCCAGACACGCGCTGCGACCTGCTCGTGCCACACACCTGGAGTCCGTGCCCCAGTGCATGGCGTAGATCTTGGCCAGGTGCCCCCTCAGCGTTCTCCTGGTGCGCATCTGGATTCTTCCCACTGGGTCGATGTTGTTCGTGATCTTAAAAACAAAAGTCACTGCAAATTAACACAGTGACGAGATCGTCCACTCCCCGTGAGGTTTCGCTCCATCCTGCGCTCCCTGCGCCAGCCTGACGGCAGCGCCCACTGTCATGGCCGTGCTGCTCACCGTGGTGGCTCACCCGGTCCCACGAGTCACCAGCCGCTCCCCACTGGGACCTCTCCTGCCCCGTGGCGCGCCCCTCTTCCTTCCGTGACCCCCCAGACGCTGCTGCTTGGGTCGTTCGCACCACCCGTCCCTACCACGTGCCCGTTGGGGCAGAGCGTGTGCCACGCTCAGTGCCAGCCCGCAGGGCACAGCCTCCTCTTCCTGCGCCCTCCCTCGTCCCACGAACTGCTCACTCCCCCGGGCCCAGCCACTCCCAGCCCTGCCAGTCCCCCCGGTTGTCACAGGCTTCCTTCCTCCCGGATGACAGCCGGGTCTAGAGCACGCTTCGCGCATCGCTACGCGGCCCCGTGGCTCCTGCTCTCCACGGCCATCGGGCCGCGTGCCAACCCGACAGCAGCCACCACCTGCTCGGTATCACCGCTGCGCCCGGCACAAAGCTACAGGCAAACCCACCACCTCACCCCCGCCTAGCAGCCCCGACGCGTGAATGGTCTGGGCTTGACAAATGCAGTGAGTCTATCACAATAATGGGTTTTAAAAAAATGTGCCCTCCTTCCTCGAAAAACTGAGAATTGAGCAATCCCTCTACTGGGTATTTACCCCAAAGATTTGAAAACCCATATCCAAGAAGATATTTGCACACTGATGTTCATAGCAGCATTATTCACCGTGGCCAGGGCATGGAAGCAACCGAACTGTCCTACGATAGACGACTGGGTAAAGCAGCTATGGTTCGTGTATACAATGGAATATGACTCAGCCATAAGAAGAGATGAAATACTGCCATTTGTGACAACATGGATGGACCTCGAGATATTCATGCTAAGCGAAATAAGCCAGACAGAAAAAGTTGAAAATCACATGAAAATCCCACTTGCGTGTGGGACATAAACCTAAAAGCAACGAATGAGCAGGACAGACAGACCGAGACTCTCAAACGCGGACTACAGGCTAGTGGTTACCAGAGGACTATAGACTGGTGGTTACTAGTGAGGTGGGGGATGAGGGGGGAGGTAGATGGGGTAAAGGGGGTCAAATATACGGTTTAGGGGGAGGGTGAAGTGGGTAAAGGGGATCAAATATATGGTAGCTGAAAGAAACTGGACTTTGGGTGGTAAACGCACAATAGAATATACAGATGTCAAATAATAATGTACACCTGAAAATTACCTAACTGTATTAACCAATGTTACCCCAATAAACTTAATTAAAAAAAAAAGGGTCCTCCAAAGTGTACCTGAGAGTTCAAATTCAGGTAACGCTACACAGCTTCTCCTTAACTCACTGTGTAACCTCAAAGTATGTCCCCTAAAGCGTTCGGACGCTGGAAAAACTTGAATCATTCTCGGAAGAAAAGCTTTCTCTTTCACATTTGTTTGATTTAGACAGAAATATTAACTTTTTTAAGGAGATGAAATTCACCGTTTAAAGTACACACATTCATCTACAGCCACGCCACCCTGAACAAGCCCGATCCCGTCTGATCTCGGAAGCTAAGCAGGCTCGGGCCTGGTTAATACTTGGATGGGAGACCACCTAGGAAAACTGGGTGCTGTAGGTGTAAAAAAAATAAATAAATAACGGATTGCAAGTTGACAAGGTCCTTGCAATCTGTGAGGTCAACCAAGGGTCGCCTCACCTAAAAAATAAATAAAATAAAATAAAATAAAAACTAAAATAAGTAAAAAAAAATGTAAATAAATAAATAAAGTACACACGGTCACACTGTATGCTGTCACCTCTCCCTGGCTCCAAACCCCTCCTGTCCGCAGAGGAGGCCTCATCCCCAACGCGCCCTCGCCCCATGCGCCAACGCCGGCTGGCGCCTGGCGCGGTCATCCCTGTCTCTGGTTCCCTGACCCCGCGTGCCCTGTGCGAAGGGGATCGCACGACATGTGACCTCTGGCGTCTGGCCCCTCTCACTCCGCGTGTTTCTGAGGTTCATCCGTGTTGTGGAGAGCGTCAGTAACCACATCTGTTCTGTGACTGAGTGAGTGACTGTCCCTCATATTTAGCACAACTCGTTCCCCCACTCGTGGGAGTTTCGGTTGCTTCCAGCCCCTGGCTGCGGTGGCTCGTGCTGCTAAGGACACGTGTGTGGGTGTGCTGCGTGGGCGCAGGCTTTCGGTTCTTCTGGGTGTGTGTCTAGGAACCGCTGGGGCACAATTGAGGTTTAACATTTTGAGCATCTGCTTGACTCGGTTTTAGAAACGTTCTGAGGCAGAGTTTTTAAGGAGAGGACCTTCGGGAACTGCGTTTTAAGACTATAAGAACACTCTACAACGCTGACCCAACAAGCCCTTATTTAAGGCGTAAGAGAAACCTATGATTCTTCTTTAAAGGCACCCCTCCCCTCCACCCGACACGAGCGGCTTCGGGAGGACGCGCCCAGGCGCTGCTGTCCTGCCTCGGTGTGCCAAAGCACGGGGCGCAGTGGCACTGTCCCACGTGTCCCGGGGGCAGACGACCTACCTGAGAGAGAGTTGCATCTGCACACGCTTTTCTAGCATCCTAGAAACAACAAAGGTAAGAGGAGATCAGTGACGTTTCGGACGCGCTGGGCCCCAGGTCCTCATGCCAAGGTTCACAGCAGGAGCGGGATGTGGCGCGTGCAGCGCTCACTCGTCCCCTGCCCTTCCAACCCCGCAGCACGGAGCCCGCAAACTCCAGCCCACGCCGCAGAGCTCACCCAACGCAGAGAACGTGTTAACGCTCCAATACGTCCCAGGCCTGCACGCTGCCTGGTCTCATGAGCACAACGTCCTGGTGACCCCAGAAACACAGCCCAGACAGGGAGGAACCCAGAACGGGCGGAACCCAGAACGGGCGTCGCCTCTGCCAGCTCGCTGTCTTACAGCCCAGCAGCTGTGGGCCCAGAAGATACCCATGCTCCGACCCAAACTGTCCCCGTGGACTGCCAACCTGGGGCTGCTCCCAAGCCCAGCAGTCACGCGTGTGGAGCTGCTTGCGAAGGAGCCAGGGGTCTGGGGAGACGTTTGTCAGTCTAGTGTCTCACCTCCTTTCTCACCCACGAAGTGACCTTGGGAAGCGGGGAAGCACTGCAGAGGAGCACGCTAAAGCTAGAGAACGCCTCCTCGTCCCTAAGCAATCAAGTTACTAAAAAATAAAATGCTGCAATCCCAAATTAGTATATATGTTTTACAAATAGAAAGCATACGTTATAAAGGAAAATGACATGATAGTTTTAAAAGCATCAAAGTCTGAGTGTAGAAATAATTTCCAAGAAAATTATGACAATTTCTAATGAGAAAAGTGGTTCCGTTATGTCGTCACCTGACCGCCTGCTTTCCCGGGGCAGCTGGCCACACAACGGCCTTTGCGCCCACCCAGGCGTGCGTGCGGGTGTCACCACCGTCCAGCGGCCACCACCTTACTGCTGATTACTTTTATCTCATGAAGCTCTGGGGATACTTACCAGGAGCACAGAAATATATTCGCAGAGATTGTTATCACAACACACCAAAATCTAGATTCCAATTGCAATTTCAATTGTGCGATTACATGTCGTTCTGCTTAATTAACGCTGCTTAATTGTATAATTAAAACATAAAATAACATGTAACCAAGTACTTCTACAGCAGCATCTAAATCTGGGGGAAAAGCGTCAGGGAGGGGAAGGCCCAGAGTGGCAGGTCTTTCATCAATGAATTCCACGTGGCGAGTGTTGAGTTTCATATTAATTTCTGAATACCTGGTATGTTGATGCTATCTGTGGCTTTTAACTTTAAGAAAGAAAAATGAGAAATTTCTAAATGGAAAAAATAAACCATGGGACTTAAGGAACTTCACCCTGGCTGGTGTCTAAAAGTTAAAAATGGGGTCCATCGTGCACCATGTGACAGACGGTGGTAACACTGCTGCTGAGCACTCAGCGCAGCCTTCGCCCCAGCCCCCAGCCCCCCAGCCCCACGCCCCACTGGGCAGGCAGCACGCACGTGTAGCCTGGGGGCGTCGTTTAGTGCGAAGGCCTCTGTCTTGTTTGTGATGAAAAGTGTCACTGAGGGGAACAGGTCACCTTTTCTGTCACCTTGAACCAGAGGAATACATCCAAACCACAAACCAGTCAGCTCCTCATCCTGTCGGACATGCGTCAAACACAGACCGAGGCGTGCGAGGCCTCACCCTGCTCGGGCCACAGCGAAAGCCCCGACTCTGCTCAGCCACTGCATGGCCACGCTTGGGCCCTCGTCCCAGTGAGTTCTGCTCATTTGCACGGGTCAGCACAGTCACTTTGTAACTTATGCACCTGTACGCTTCACGGTGTCTTTCTTAACTCATCGGGTCCCGTGAATTTAAGACATGCCATGCTTTACTCAGCATTCCTCTGAGAGTCCACGTTTCCTCACGAATTGACCAAGAGACGACGAGACCGTCCTCTGGGGTCCGTCAGCTGAAAACAGACCTAAGAGAGGAAGCGGCCCCTCCCAGGCTCACTGACCGCTTCCTGTTCACTGTGCCCTGAATTCTTTAAGAAGCATGTATTCTGTGGGCAACCAGGAAAAAAAGGGTGTCCCTCTCCTTCTGAAAGGAAGTCTCCCCTCCCTGTCGTGTGATGGGCCCCAGCAGCCCCTGCCGTCCCACACTGTGCCTGTGCCCAGGACAGAGCCCGTGCGGGTGGCTGTGGGCCGCACGGCCGCTCTCCCTGGAGCCGGTCTCAAGGGGAGCCGTGAGCCACCAGACACAGTCCATGTGACTGCAGCAGGCGCTTAAATGGAAGAGACCCATGAATTCTCAAGACTCAGTGCGAACGGAGAGTGTACAACGATGACAACACCTATCAAGCGCATGCTGGAATGACTGCAGACACGCTGGTACAGGTCATCTGTTAAAAATTAATCTACCCGTTTCCTTTTACATTTTCAAATTTCACCTGTGGCCCACAGGACAGCCCTGTCCCCAAGGAGAACTGCCCTGCGTGCACTTTACAGTGTGACTGGATCTGAAAAATGAGAAGAGATGTCACACTGCCCGCTGTTCCCTCAGCGTGGATGTCTCCTGCCTGCGCCACGCAAGCCATCGGCCAGGGACGGAGGTCCGAATCCACTGTCTATGGACCATGACTGAAAAACAACTCATAGTTGTAGAAAAAAAATTCTGATTTCCACGTTCTGGAGAGTGGATAGACATTAAACAAGTCTGATCGGAGCAAATAAAAATACTAAGTTTTCCTTATTTTTATTGAGTGTATCAGATCTTTTAAATGGTAAAAGTTGAAATTCTTAGAGTAAAAGAGTATTTGGTTTCCTCTTTGGCTGCAGACCTCATATAATCCCATCGTCTATTCTCGAGTTTACGAAAAAGCTGGCTAAAAGGACGACGACGCTTCTTTCTCCAATCGCCACTAGGCTTTCTGAACATATCCACTGTTGACAGGAAAATAATTAGACTCCATCGTTACAGCGAACTCAAAAATGTTTAAACACGGGTTGAAAAGCAGCATTCCGAAGGGTGGCAAAGCCATATGGAGGACCCAAAGGCGCCAGAGAGAAGCTCCTCGTCGTGCAGACACGGCCCCCGACACGTGCAGAGGGCGCCAGGGCTTCGATTCTGGAAAGCCCGGCTCCTCCCTCACCTCCTCGTGCGGACAGTCTGAGAACAGAAACGTCTGCTCATGTATCATGCTTCTCGAGAACCGCTCACGGGCAGCACTGCCCCGCGAACCTGGAGGGCAGATTACCCATGAGGCCTCCTCCCCCCGTCCCGTCGAAGTCCCGGGTTCAGCGGGGACCGACTCCGGGAACGCTACTCCTTGCGCAGGGCGGCCGGACCGAGCACGCCTGTTTCATCTTCCATTAGACGTATCTGCTCCATCGAACGGCCTAGCAAAAGCTGGAGACCCTATCGCCATCCCAGAGGAACACGTCTTTTCAAAGAAAAGAACAAACCAGGTTCACTGAAAATACCTAACGGTCACAGGGGACGGAGGCAGATGCCACACTGTGACCAGAACACTGTCCCAAAGTTAAGAAAAAAGTACAGAAAAATGTTTAATATTTTATACATACTCAAATAACGATATGCTAGGAACAAAATCCTCAAAGTAATGGACTGGCCACGCATCCGGATCTGTACTCAGTAAATGTCAGTCCAAAACACTGCAGTCACTCTGTAACCCACCGTTCATAAAACAAATAACAGCTGACCTACAATCCAAAGAATTAGTAAAACTAAACACACATGCAGCTACGTACTCTGATTTGGTTTTTAAGCTGCTCCGCCTCCTGCCGTAACTGGTCAAGTTCACTCATCTTCTGATCTTAGCGCTGTCCAATGCCGCCTCGAAGAATCGGGGATCTGAAACGAATGCAAGTGCAAAAAACCCATGAACGATGGCCGAGTAATCGATGAAGGTGAGAAAAGGAACCGGGTTCTGAGAGCTGCGGCTTCACTGTGGTCAGCGCGCTGGAGCACTCATCGAGTTACGAAGGCCCACCAAGGCCTGGGCCGGCAAAATCTAATGACTGCCATCCACGAGCTCTGTGCAGCGACATGTATACTGGATGCCTCAAAAGATGGGGGTGGGTTGAAAAGGAAAAACCCGTCAGGAAGCATTTTCCACGAAGGGCCTGAGGCTGACACTGAGAACAGCTCTCACGTGCAAGCCCAGGGGCACGAGGTCAGGAAACGGGTCCGTGGCAACCTGGCTGCACGCGGTACGTCAAGCCACACCAATGATCTTGAACCCGCCACTGCCCAGACGTCAGAATGGTCACACAGCAATTCCCGAAGGACTTGCCAGGACTCTGGTTCAGGGGCAACTTGCTCTCCCACCAAAATAGACCCCGGGATCCCAGCAGACGCGGACCCACCACCGAATCCTTACAGGTACCGGCCCAGTCGGGCCCAGTACAAACAGCCGGCCGCCCACTCCGGACGCGCAGCCTCATTAGACAGTACTCCTGAAATCAGAGCCAAAACAAAACCGCCCTGTTCAACGAGAGCCTGATTTCCCCGAAGGAGTCTCATAACTGGGGGCTGCATTTCTGGCCAGGAGCATGGCTGTCAAGCCGGTCATAAATATGACCAACACATCACAAAGCTGGAGCTATAATTACTGACATCTTTCAACTACTTAAGAATACAATTGGCTCCCACATGCAAACACGGCTTACGCCAGGGCCTCCATTTCCCATGCAAATACACTGCAGAAAAATTTTCCATCACAGATTTTGTGTAAAAGTCACAGGGTTAATATGACATACACCAGGTATCTAACTAGCGGCTGTTTATTTTGGGACTGAAACACTGGAGGGAAATTTCACGGATGCCCCACAAGGCGCAGCTGCCAGTGCTCCCACTCTGGTGCCCCTCCCGCAGAAGCACTCCAAGTGACTGCGGCGTGGTCGCCGATGGCGACAGGAACCTCATTCCCGACAGAGCGCACGTTCGGAGAAGTGAGTTCCCAGCCCTGCTCCCACCTGCACCCGCTGTCTATTCCCGGGAGAAGAGCAAGAAGCTGGCCCACGGCACCCGGGCCTCCGCACACCTGTCCCAGCGGTCCGCAAAGGTGACACACAAGGCGACACACGCCGACAGTCTCAGAAATGTTTCTTATCGAAAGGCATCGCTTTAAGTGGGTGTTTAGCGCACGCGGGCAGCATGGCTAATGCAGGTCACCTGGGGTCCCCGACACAGGCGCCCGCAGCAAGAGGCTACACTGCGCACACTGCACCCCCGCCCCGGGCTTCTGCAAGGACCGCAACCTGTGAGTGTGACCCCAGCACAGCAGCGCCGAGCACACAGGGAGCCATCCCTGACACGCCCCGGCCGGCCGGCCCCGCGCGGGTCCCAGGCCCAGCTCTGCAGCCCAAAACCAATGTGAAGAAAACTACAGCTCGTGTTCTGGGGGGCGCTACCTCGTTAGTTTTACTCAACAAACATAACTTCTGATCCTAATATGAACACTAAACAGCTAATTTTTAGTTAAGGGCTAAAAACAACAAGCTCCTTAGGATCTGGGTGAACAGGGAGGACATTCTGAGCAGCTCGGGGATCTCCAGGGTAAGACGCGAATTCCAGTATTAGGTGAGAAACTCTGCAGATCTTAAATATTTAAATGTCTCTTTCTGCTTTAAGCTAAAGAAATGAAGTTATTGAAAACCTAAGTTATCTTTAAATTGAGCTCAATTAAACTCAGTTACCTCACAAGATTTCAGAATACCAACAACTTGCTAACTTTAATCTTTAGTCACAAGCAAAGAAAACCAAATCAGATCTATTTCCTTCATCAGTAAATGGCATAAATTATTAATACTGCCTTTTGACCACACAGCTCCCTCTACAAGCAGCGTCCACATCTAAGTCTCGAAATCTATGTTTACTAATTTGTAAGAAATGGGGCATTCCTACTTCTACCAGTGATAAAAATGTGTCCTCTAAGACCCTATTTAATCTTAAGCTACACAAACGATCTGGTGAGGAAAAGAAACCTATATAAAGGCACTGAAGTTTTTAAAAATTACATTCTTTATTTTCCACGTCAAAGTGGTATTTTCTAAATCGAATCTGGAAAAGAAGTTTTGTGGATGGACTTTCACTGATGAAGAGCTGTCCAGTGTCTCTAGCACGCGAACCTCTCTGTCACCCAGGGGCACTGTCCAGGACCACTGTGATGTGGTGTGCGCACACAGCTACAGGATGGCCCCCTTCACCCTGAGCTATGGGACAGTGAACTGGTGCCACAGGAGGCGCGTGGAGAGACAGGACACCACCACCATCACAGAAAACAGCCACCCCCACGCCCCGTGGACGGCACACAGCACGCTCACTCCAACATCGAGCGGAAATGACAGGGTGCAAAAACCTTTTATTCCCACAAACTAAACGTTCACCCCAAATGCTCTTCTGCGAAGATACAGTAAATGAAATAAACAAGGTACAGAACAGTGTATAAATGATCCTTTTCTTTCTTGCATATAAAAAGAACACAGGTCTATGGATGTAAGTAATCTTTTTTTGTGTATACGTAAGAAAACATTAATAGTGGCTATTTTTGGAGAAAGAAATAGTGGGGCAATTTTTATTTTTCACGTTATCATATTTATATATATGTACACACACACACACACACCCTCCATTAAAAAAATTAACAGGTTATCTGGGCCCTGGAACCAAGAAGCATTCACATTTTTTTCTCTATACTTTTCAGTTAAAAAAGAAAAGCTAATGTTAACTTTTTACCAGATGAATTATTATTTACCAGTAAGAATAATAATGAAAACAATATAAAACCTGGAGAAATGCTTATCGTATGTTAAATGAAAAACAAATAATTTTACAGCAAAAATACATTTAGTTTAAAAACGACATTTTAAGACTAATAGCACTTTTAGAATTATTGGTAATATTTTTCTCATTTTCTAATAGTGGCCAAGGAGTTTATATTCCTTTGCTGATAAAACCAGTGTACATTTTAAAAGTCTTACTTACATTTAACTGCTTGTGCCTTTCTCCTCACTATCCTTAGTCCCCCCAAAGCCTTCTGGAAACCCCACCTGTGTCAAAGTCACTGTTAAGCGCTGGCCGCGCTGACTCAGCGCGCTGACCAATCTAATCCACTAAGACAGGACCTGCTGAGAGCCCCGCCTGCCCTCCATGACCCACATCTGCCACTGGCTTTCGGTCAGAACTCCTGTTTTGGAAACACTTCTTGTGGAAATTTAAGTAACGTAAAAGCCGGTATAGGAAGTGGTCCGCCCCTACTTTAGGCTGCATGCAGCACCTCTGTAAGTCAAAGGGGAGCCTGATTTTTTTATTCAAATGTTTCTCATTTGCAATGCAATGCATGGCAGTCGCTTCATGACAAACGCAGCACCATCTCCCTCCAACCAAGACCCCTGTGTTCCAGGAGTGACCGTCCATGGCCCCCCAGCACCCACGGTTATTAGTCACTAACAATGACGCTCAGGCTGCGGGTTTGTTAATGTATCAACAAATAAATTCGAGTTCTGATTCTGCCGCATATCAGGAAATGTGCCTCTCACCAAATCCCTTTTCAGTCTGGTCTGTTTACTGCAAAATCACAAAGGCGTTCTCTACACGACAGGCTGAAATAAAAATTAAGTGAGGCGACTGGAAAGTGCCCCGTCAGCCTTTTGGTGATTAGAGGGTGAAGCAGACCTTCCAACAGGGCCAAGGGCTCCCCCACACACATGCACATGCACACGGTCTCACGGCCAGCCCCGCATGCCCGCGGACATCCGCTGCGCCGAGCTGACAGCGGCAGCGCCTCTGACACGTCCCAGGCCACAGGCAGGCCACGCGCATCCAGCGTTGCATGGGGCGGGGGCGGGGTCTGCTCACTCGCTGGCACGCGAGTGCCGCACCTCATCTCCAAGACAAAGCAGCATTTGGACAGAGAGGAATTTGCACGAAGAATTAAAACCAATTTCATCAGCTCTTCCATTTTTCTGTCATTCCCAAATCCAAGATCATCTCCAAAATGAAGACAGTGCGAATCCAAAGGGCGACAGAGTCCTCCCTCGGTACACACGGTTCTGACAGTATTGTGAGCAACGCAGGGCAGCAGCACAAAGACACCGCGACCCGCGAGGGGCGTGACTGCTGGAGAGGGCGCCGCGCCACGCACCGTGCCCCCTGCCCCGGACACCACCCACCACGGCCCTCCCTGTCCTTTAAAGTGATGCGCTGATGTATTTAAGAATGACGGGTCAGCGAGGAGGGGGACGGGTGAGGGCAGGTACCGAGCCAGCCCGGCCCTGAGTGGGGACTGCTTTCATCTGGTAATAATGGGCTTCCTTAATGCCACTTGTTAACTTCCGCATATGTGACAATTTTCCATTAAAATCATTTTTTAAAATGTTACAAGACTCTGGATCGTGATTCAAAATCCACACGTACAGACCTTTTAGAGAAAATCAGAAAAATCTGATTTTGGTCTGAGTATCTGATGACACGAAGGAGCTGCTGTTCTTTTGTCTGGTGTCACAATGGGACTAAGAAGATCCTCACCTGACAAATACTTCTTACTTCCCAGTGCAGTAAGCTGGATTTGCTTTAGGGCACTCCAAGACAGGAAGGAGGGAGTGGGGGAGGTGGTTAAACAAAAGTGGCCAAGTTCTGTAGATGTTGGAGCTGGGTGATTACATAAGATCCTGTGTTTATATGTTTGAACATTCTCAATAAATTTTTTTAAAAATCATTATTTTTTGGTGTTGTGTGAGTACATTACAAGCACGCATTAAATTCGCTATAATCTCTTGGTTTTAAAAGTGTGGGAGCGCAGACAGCCCACGAGCAGGCTGTGTCGTGTGGTGACATTTTTTTCTGCGAGG